AACACAAAACAAATAAGTAAAAATAAAGATCTGTGCTGTGAGACTCCTATCAGTGCTTGCTAGAGGCTTCTAATGTTATCCTACTTGTGTTTATGTGTGTGTTACTCAGGATCTAACCCAGAGATGCTCTGCTACTGAGCTACATCATCGGCTCTTTTTTCTTTTCTTTTCTTTTAAAATTTTGACACAGTGTCTCATTAAGTTGCCTAGAACTAGCAGTCCTCCTGCCTCAGCCTCCCAAGTAGTTAGGATTACAGGCTCTGCCTGGCTACCTGGACACTGATCGTCACTGTGTCTGGTGGATCATTCATACTAACTGAGAAGCTTGTGCTGCAGCCTGAGCGTGGGGCACAGTGCTCTCTCGCTCTGGTCCCAACTGAAACCAGAAATCTAGGGGACTCTACATGGGTCAAAGGCCCAGGCCAGTATGGTACCTGCTGCCTCCAAAATCTCCAAGGTCTACAGGGTGCTGTGCCTCATTTTGGGAGTGGGCAGCATGAGTGCAGTAACTAAGAGTGGCTCGAAACGTTTATTTAGCTGGCCCTCTACCTCCAGCATCTCCTTTGTAAGGGATGTACAGAGGTATTGAAAGCATTAGACCTCTGAAGACTATGTTTTCACAGACAATGGGAGAACTAACATATGTTTATGATAGTCTGTGGTCATTTTCCATGTTCCACGTTCTTTCTGCACAAGCCCAAGTGGCAAAGTTACATAGGTCTGAAAATTTGGTGAGAGGTGGTGATTCTCCACTTCAGTGATTCATATCAAGTTTGTCCTCTAGACTTGAGATGTTTGTGACCTAGAACAAGCAATATTCTCAAGGTGTAATGGCAGATGTCTCCTAGCTACTCCGGAGGCTGAGGCAGGAGGATTGCAAGTTGGAGGACAGTCTAGACAATTTATGAAGACTATCTCAAAATTTAAAAATTAAAAGGGCTGCGTTTTAACTCTGAGACCTTGGGTTCAATCTGCAGTACCAAAGAAAACCCAAACAAAACACAGTATTTTAGTATTTGGGTTGGTGAACTATGACCCGTGAGACACATCTGGCGCTGAGACTGCTTATAAATGAAGTTTTATTGGAATACAGTCATGTGCTTTCCTTTAAAGACTATTTGTCTTCTGGTTGATTTAATTCCCAGGGACACTGTGGTCATTCTGCCACCATTGAGGAGATCTGTAGTACAACAGATGGCTCTTCTGGTTGGCATGTTCCATCTGCCCCCGACAGCCCAATATGGCTTTATTGTCTTGATGGTTAAGGGCTCCTCACTTGATTTCTACTACTATAGCTTCTTGTCATCGCCACTGAAACGGGGGGTTCTCATCTCAGGGGTGGTCTCCCCTGCAGTGATAGCTGGCATGTGAAGGACTGTGAGCACAGAGCTTTCCAAGGATGTAGGGACTTCCTTCTCTCATCTGTTCCCAAGTGCCTTCATGAAGAGAGTGCTCACTTGAATTCTTAACACGGGTTGAACAAGGGGTGTTGTGCAGACCACATGTAACAACGTTCCTACGTCTCTAGGATTCCTTCCTTCACACTATGCCAGGGAAACTCTGCCAGATCATTTCATTCACTGTAGGTCACCACTGAGCCTAAGTTCCAATCATCCAAACAAGTTAGCTGTCAATCATTCCCAGGTCCACGAGCCAGGAAATGAAATCCGCAATGTCCAGTTGGGACCCAAGTCAATGAACTTGGCCCTACTTAGTGTTCATCCCAGCACCCTTGGTGTCACACCCTTAGAATTATTTCCCATGCATGGTCCCTGGTTTTCCTCTGATGCACGTGACTACAGAAGGAAGGTTGTATGAGCCTTTTTCTTGCCTGATGCCATACACCTGTGCCCCTGGATTTTGCACTCATTTTGCCTCTAGTGGCATCAGCGGGTGATCATGGTGGGTGGGTCTTGTATAGTATTTCCTTCCAATATAACTGCCCCAGGAGAGATTACCTTGGGGTTTTCAAGCAGAGGAATGCAGAGACCAAAGGGCAAACTACATACCTGATAGGGGAGGCTTAGAGCGTCTTAGAGGTTAAAGAGTGTGTGCGTTTCAGCTGGGTCCAACTACAAATCTTCATTCCAAGTTTCATGCTCTAATTTTCCCGATTTTATTAAAATTGTTTTAAATTTTCAAATTTTCTGGATGTTAGAACATCCCCAGAGTCTGTGAGGACCCCACTCAGGTGGTCAGCTGCATCAGTATGATCAAGCTAATCCCCATCCACATTCTCTTTCTTGCCTTCCTCCATGACATTTGATTGAATCATCAATGAAATCTCATGCCTTTTGCTTTTGTTCTCCACACAAATGCCCAATAAGGGCACTGGCCCGAAGTCCTCACTCTCAGCTCCCTACCTTGTGGTTAGGGCCTGCTTATTACATCCTTTTATAGCACAGCGTGACCTCCTACATGGCACAGTGTACCTCCTTCTCTAGGACTTGTATGTACAATAAGTCCTTTTGTCTGGCACAGTGGTACATACCTGTCATCCTAGCACGTGGGAGGCTGAGGCAGGAGGATCTCCAGTTCAAAGCCAGCCTGGTTAACATGGCAAGACCCTGTCTCAAAATAAAATAATAAAATGGACTGGGGAGGTAGCATAGTGGTAGAGCACTTGCCTAGCATTTGTGAGGCCCTGGATTCAATCCCCAGTACCACCAAAAAACAAACAAAAAAAAATCCAAAGAGAAAGGAAAGAATATCCACCTCCTAGAGGTAACAGTCCATTTTAGAAGATTTTGCTTAGAGTAAGTACAGAATATGGGTGGTGATTATCTTGTTCACAGAAGCATGTCAGGAAGATGTTGCCAAAAAGCACCTGGTCCTTGTTCCCTCCTCTCCTGTTCTCTTAGCAACTTAAGACCCAGACTTTAGCTCTTGAAAGCCTGCAACCAATAAACAAAAGAAAATAAAACAGGGTGAGGGCAGAGAATACTGGGACTTTCAGTGGCCAAGAGGTCAAGGGAGAGAAACTTTAAATTTTAAGTACTGACCTAATGGCAGGTCAAACACACATAATGGTAGGATTATCCACTGATTTAAAAACAAACCCTTAGGTACCAAGAGTTAAACCCAAAGTAATTAAATATACACATGGCTAATATTTAAATATAAATACATATATCCTCTATTAAATTTGAACATTGTGCTCTTTATAATCTTTTTAGAAGTGCCTAGTATATGCAGGGCATGGTGGCAGGTGCCTATAATCCCAGCTACTCCAGAAGCTGAGGCAGGAGGATAGCAAGTTTGACACAGGCCTGGGTAGTTTAGCAAGAGCTTGTGTTATGGCTTGTATCTTGATGTCCCCTCAAAGCCTCATCTGTTCATAGGTGGGGCTTTTCAGGGCTGGCTGGATCTAGGATGTGTGACACTGGGATTAAGGGTGTGTGGTACTTAATTAGTCCACTGATGGGAATTAGCACAATTCTGGGAGTGGCTGAATGGATTTACTGAAGACAGGAGCCCTTCCCTGGGTGTAGGTGGCGCCACCTAAAAGACTTGTAGCCTGGATGGGATAAAAGGAAAGGCAGGGTCACTGTCGCTGCTTTGCTGCCTCCTGTTTACCCTGCCATGGACTGTTTCTCCTCTACCATACCACCCTGCCTTGGAGCCAGCTGACTATGGACTGACATCTCTACAAACTGTACGCCAAAATAAACCTCTCCTTCTTTAGCTTGTGGGTATCGGGTATTTTGTCTCAGCAAAAAGAAAAGTAATGACACCTTGTCTCAAAATAAAATAAAAAGGGCTAGAGAGGTAGCCAAGCACCTCCTGAGTTCAATTCCCAGTACCACAAAAAGAGGGGGGTAAAGTTATAAAATGGGGGTGGGTGGGTAATCATCACTTTATAGGCTTAGCTAATTTTACCAGTCACAATAACCATTGCCCTAAAATATCCACAGTGTGCATGATATTCTTGTGCTATGAACAAAGGCCCCCTAATTCTAGTCTGCTAAAGTGCTGTCCCAAAAAAGCTTGTGTGCTACTGCTTCCTAGTGGTCACATTTTTTCCCCCTTTTCGGTATCCTTTCCAAATTGCATTTGTGCTCCGTGGATCTGATATTTATGATATTTATGAACCAAATTCCCTTACGATAAGTCTGTTTGGAGCTATTCCACTTGTTAGATTCCTGTCCATATGCCAATAGCACACAGTGTTAATTACAGCGGATTTACAGCATGTTTTCATGTCATTGTTGGTTTTCCCTTTCATTGTTTTCTTGGTTACTATCATCAGATGTTTGCTCTTCCATATGAATTTTAGTATCAATGATGCTTAAGTCCACAAACATCTTTTAGCATCCTTATTGGGAGTATGTGACATTTTAAAATAAATGATTGGGGGAAATACCCGGTAATCTCAGTGCTATTTTGAACGTCATATAGGTGATTCCAAGCCATATAACAAAATCACAAAAATAGCAATACGATAGATATTTGAAGAAACACAAATCAAGACTTTTTTTTTTTTTTTTTGTACCAGGGATCGAACTCGGGTCCTTGCGCTTGCAAGGCAAGTACCGGAACCACTGAGCTAAATCCCCAGCCCACAAATCAAGATTTATAGCAAATCTCTTACACAGAAAACGCAAAGAAGTCAACTATTAAAGAGTTCAGCATGGTGTTCTGATAAGCGAAATACGGAGCAATAACAGCCAGGGACAGTGGCGCACACCTGTAATCCTAGCTACTGGGGAGAATGAGGCAGGAGGATCAAGAGTTTCAGGGCAGCCCGAGCAATTTAGGAACATCCTAAAATAAAAGTGGGAGCAATAACGGCTATGTATGGAAAGACTGATTGGAAGAGATAGGCCATGCCATCTCTTCTGCTGCCATCATGAAAGAATCAATATAAGGGTTCTACGCACGTAGGTAAAGAAACTTTTTCGAGCATCCTGCTGGTCAGTCCCACCCGGCCCCGCCCTTCTGATCGCACAGCTCTTGGGCGTGGGCGTGGTCCCAGTTCCAGCCCCAACCCGGGTATGGCCCCGCCCACAGGCCTGGCTGTTTCCTCAACCCGGGCATCGGCCCCGGTGTCTGCCTCCTGCTCCGGCTCTGAGTCCGCCCACGCGGAGGAAACTAGAATTTCTGTGTCTAACGGGACTGGACGTGTCTGATGTTCAAACCCCGCAGGCTCCACGCACGGCCGGAAGCGGAAATGACGCCAACGGGTCCCCTCCGTTGTCCTTCTTGCCGCTGGTGGCTCGGTGCTGTGTCGAGGTGCCTTCCTCATGGTGGGTCTGCCCCTCTTCCTCTTAGTTCATTTATCCCCACCTCTCCTTGTGCAGCGCGGTGGCGGGTGGGGGGCGGTCCCAGAGGTGGCGAGGAGGGGAGGTTGTCAGCGGCCGGGTGGAGAGCGGGGAGCTCGGGCCGCGGGCGAGCGCATCCTTCGGAAGCGGCCGGGTCCGGTGCTGGTGCGGGTCCCGGGAGACCCTGCAGGGCGCGGCCTCCGATGCCTCAGCATGCTTCAGCGCTGTGCTCTAAGCAACCTCTCTGATTCTGTCCCAGAAGGAAGGGAATTTCCGCCGTTTAGTAACGTTGTCTCCAGCCCCAGCCCCTTTCCTCCTCACGGATTTGCCGATTCTGGAGAGTTCAGGTGAGCGTTGGTCTAAGAAGGCCGCCTCTTCCTTTCCCTTTCCCCTTCCCTTCCTTCTAATTATTATTATTTTGTGGCACTGGCGATTGAACCCAGTGTCTTCACACTGAGCTACAGCCCCAGCCGTTTTTTTGAGACAGAGTCTCAAAGAATTGCCCAGACGGAGCTCAAAATTGCCATCCTCCTGCTTCAGCCTTCCAGATTACTGGGATGACAGGTGTACACTGCGTCTAGTACTTCCTTTTCTTTTGATACACAGCATTTCAGTAGAAAGATAAAGTCTATTCTTAGGCTTCTAGGGTGTTAATATTTCAGAATATAGGTGAAAAGATGTAGCTTCAAGCCTTTTTTCTGGAGAAAATATGAATGTTCAGCTCTTCTCTTCATCTGGGGTTCCTAGGCCTGTACATCCCCACAGAGCTTCAAAACAGGTCTCCTGAAAGAAAGGATGGAAGTTTTACTACAGTAGTACCAGCATAATTGATATTTGTTATTAATAACATATTTGAATCAAGTGTATTTTTTCCCTTTTTCGTTTTTTTTGGTACTGGGGATTGAACTCCGGACCTTGCGCTTGTGAGGCAGGTGGCTGAACCACTGAGCTAAATCCCCGGCCCCTATCTTTTTTCTTTTAATTAAAATTGAAGCATCTGGTACAAAGAATACTCAATACAATGAACATTTTAATCGAGTACATCTTTAATAAGTAAAATATTTTTTATATTATTTAAATATTTATTTATTATGTGTATTTTTATATATATTTGTTGTTTGTTTGTACTAGGGATTGAACTCAGGGCTTCACAATAACCTACTGCCACCACCTAGTTTTGTTTAAATTTTGAGACAGGATCTCACTAGGTTGCTAAGTTGCCCAGGTTGGGCTGGAACTTACAGTCCACCTGCCTCAGCTTCCCAGAGTGCTAAGATTATAGGCATGCACAGATTTATTCATTTTCAGCATTGTGCAGATTTGTCACTTCTCAGGTAATAAAATACATTTAATGATGAGCCATCACTTGTGTGTAAGTTGAGCATAAGTTTCGTACATGAAACTTCCCCTTTGATTATGGGTAATACACCTAAAGATATCCAACTAAACCATGGTATTATTTCACCTGAGAAAATTAAAAATATTAATGTCATCTAACATCTACTTTGCAAAACACTGGAATTCTGCACATTATTCCTCTATATGCTTTGTATGTTTTTGTATCTAAGAATCATTCAAGGCTTATATATTGCAGTTGTTTATGTCTTTTAGTTTAGAGCAGTCTCTGTTTTTCTCTCTCTCTCTTTCTCTCTCTCTCTCTCTGTCCCTCTCTTTTTGTTGCTGGAGATGGAATCCAGGCCTCATGCATGCTGAATGTGTGATTTACTATGGAGATAGACCTGCACCCCCCATTTTAATTGACTTTTGAAGAGTCACACATTCTTGAGAAAGTCACACATTTTGATATTTCTTACTGAATTCTCATGATATGTTTAAATATTCCTTCAGTTCTTGCTGTTTTCTATAAACTTGTAATTGGCTTTAGAGGAGAGGTGTGTAAACTTTGATAACTGATTGTAAGTACTTTATACTTTTTGGCCGCATGACCTCAAATTACTCAGTTTTGCTTTAATTCATGTCCATAGTCATTCTTTTTTTTTTTTGGATTTTTGAGACAGAGTCTTGTTATGCAGTGGTCTTGAACTCACGGTAATCCCCCTGACTCAGTCTCCTGAGCGCTGGGATTACAGGTGTCTTCCACCACACCTAGCTGTCCATGGTTATTTTAACACAGACTAGTGGTAAGCCACAACCAGTATAAAAAGCAGAATAATTACGTTCAAAAGTGGGCATATGGGATGGGTTTGTACCCCAGTGGTATAGTGGTTGCCTACTGTATCCAACACCCTGGGTTCAATCCCCAGCACTGCAAATATAAAATTTAATTTAATTTGAAGAGAGGGCCTAGATTTGCCCTAAAGTATCAAAACGTTATGCTATGCTTCTCCTATGGGTATTTGCCAGAGGCTTCCAACAGCACTATATATACCATGGACACTTGGAGTATTATTGGGTCTGCTGGGTAATTTGGACCAGTTGCTTGAAAAACTTGTACTTCACTCTTGCTGTGGCCTTCACTTGAAACTGAAAGCCTTGCAGGTGACTAAAGATATGTTAAAGCACATTCAAATCTTGAAAATGTTGCATCCAATTTTCAAAGGATGTGGGGCACATGCCTATAATCCTAGCACTTGAGAGGCTGGGCAGGAGGATCACTGTGAGTTCAAGACCAGCCTAGGTTACATAGTAAGTTCAAGGCCAGCCCAAACTACATAGCAAGACCCTGTCTCAAAAAACAAAAACGAACAAACAAAAAAAAATTCAAAATGTCGGTTGAGTTAATGCCCATTTTTTGGCTGGTGGATTGGTGCAGTATCTTACAGTGAAATCACTGAGGGAATGTCTTTACACGATCCAGACTACTGATCCCCTAGAAACTTTCTTTCACCCATGAATTACAACCCTCTGTTTTACATCTTTCTTTTAAAGGTATCTAAACTATTTTCTACTCCTTAGTCTGTTAGATCCAGTCAGCACATCAACATAGTTTGTAAATGTGGTATTTGGAATGTCAATCCTCTAGGACTATGTTACACCAGAGACTAGGAAACATAACATACCCTGGGGCAATGATGTAATGGTATACTGTTGGTCCTGCCAGGTAAAAGCTAATTACTTCCTGTTTCTTTCAAACCAGTTTAAAAAAAGAGACTTAGCTTTGTCACTACTTGCATGACAAGTGATAGAGATTGTGTTGATTTTCTTCAGGAAATATGCTATATCTTTAAAAACAGTTGGAGGTAGGTATGGTGATACGTTCTGCCTCTTGGAAGGCTGAGGCAGGAGGATTATGAGTTGGGAGCCAACCTGAGCAACATAACAAAACTCTGTGTCAAAAAAGGAAAGATTCCTAAAACCAGAAAAATCAACAGTTGGGAGTTACTACCTGACTAAATTCACAATAACTGACTGTTACCATTTGAATCTTAAATATCCGTGTCTTAACATATTGGTTCCCAGACTGTGGCACTACTGAGAGAAGGTATAAGCTTGAAGAGGTAGGGCCTGGTGGAAGGATGTTAGGTCATTGGTGGGGAAGGTGCCTTGTAAAGAAATATTGAGACCTCTGTCCCTCTCCATTCTCTTTGCTTCCAAGCAACCATGAGGTGAGCAGCTTTCCTTCACAATATGCTTCCACCCTTATGTACTGCCTTGCCATAGGCCTAAAAACAATTGGACCAGTTGATTATGGACTGAAATCTCTGAAGCCCAAATAAATCTTATTTATAAATTGACTGTCTCAAGTATTTTGTCACAGCACCGGAAAGCTGACTAATACAGTCATTCTTCAAGATCCAGGTGACTTCTATACTGACCAACATGGTGAATTAAATTGGAATGAGTTCAGTGTTATGATTCCTGATTATTTGAAGTGTTTGAGGTTGTTTTTTGTTTTTATTGGTATTTTTCTTAGTCATTTTTCTGTTACTGAACATAATACCAGATACCCACAACTTAAAGCAGGAGAGATTTATTTTGGCTCAGGATTTTTAGAGGACTCTGTCCATAGTTGGCTGGTCTAAGTCAGGAAGGAAATGATAAAAGTATCTGGTGAATGTAAGCTGCTCATGTCATGGTGTCCAGGAAGCAGAGAGCACAGGGAGGGACTAGGGAAGGAGATATACCTTTTCTGGTAATGTCCCTATGGACCTGCTCTTCCAACCAGTCTCCACCTCATAACAGCATACTCAGATATTCATTGGAATATTCATCCACTTATGAGTCTAGTGCCCCTGTGATCTAATCACCTTCCAAAAGCCCAACCTCTGAACTCATGAGCCTTTGGGGAGAGATATAGATCACCTATAATATTCTGTCCCTGGTCCAAAAGACTCATATCCATCTCTTTACACAAAAGACTTTTTGTCCCAAAAGACTCACATCCATCTCTTTACACAAAATGTATTTAATCTGCCACTTAGTGTCACCATAGTCAACAATTTCAGGATTGCTGGAAAGTCCAAATCCAAAGTCTCTGAGGCTCAAGGCAAACCCTTAGCTGTAAGACCCTGTAAAAATCAAAAAGACATTGGTTTTTCAGAATGCAAGAATTATAGGGCCATGAAGGCATCCACCTAGATTTTAGAAAAAGGCCTGGGAGTCAGTCTGTGTGCCCCCAACAGAGTAGTGCATAAAGCTTCAAGTGAAGCCAAAAGTGCAATGGAGACCACAGGAAATCAGAAATACCAGAAGCATGGAACATCTACCAATGAGAACTGCAGGCAGTAAAAAAAGAGCCAGACCAAGAGAGAAACCATATGGACTGCAACTGTTGGCAGTGCCACTTCAAGGAATCCATCCTAAAAATACACTGATAGAAATATGACATGTCAAGGAAGTGAGACAGATTCGAACTAACCCAAATGGCTGTCAACAGGGTGCTGGTTGAATAAATTATAGTAACTGTGCATAATGGATCACTACCTATGCTCAAGTAATACTCTACAGCAGGTCACCCCAAAAATTTTCACTGAAGATCTCACACAAATACCTCTCACTAACAAACTCCAACCTGGAATTATGGA